CCATGGCTCATGGTATTCGGCTCACTCCTGATCATGTCCGCTGCCGGAGCCACCTACATGTTCGGCCTTTACTCTGGGGACATCAAGGACTCCCTAGGGTACGACCAGACCACCCTCAACCTCCTCAGTTTCTTCAAGGACCTCGGCACCAACGTTGGCGTTCCTGCCGGATTAATAGCTGAGGTAACCCCGTCCTGGTTCGTGCTCTCCCTTGGTGCCGTGTTAAACTTCTTCGGCTACTTCATGATGTGGCTGGCCGTGACCAAAAGAATCGCTCGACCGGCGGTCTGGCAAATGTGTCTGTACATCTGCGTTGGCGCCAACTCTCAGGCGTTCGCCCACGTCGGATCTTTAGTGGTGTGCGTAAAAAATTTCCCGCAGAGCCGCGGCGTCGTTCTGGGGATTCTCAAGGGTTACCTCGGCCTCAGCGGCGCCATAATAACGCAATTCTACCACGCTATTTACAAGGATAACTCTAAGCAACTAATTTTGCTGATCGGGTGGCTACCAGCAGCGATATCTTTGGTGTTTGTTCGGACTATCCGGACCATGAAGGTGACCCGTCAGTCTAACGAGTTGAACGTGTTTTACAAGTTTCTGTACATATCTCTTGGCCTGGCGGCGTTTTTGATGATTATAATCATTGTGGAGAAGAGGCTGACTTTCAATCAGGGAGAATATGGCGGCGCCGCCGCCATGGTTCTTATTTTGTTGTTTTTGCCGATTGCTGTTGTGATTGGAGAAGAATTGAATATTTGGAAAGCGAAACAAGCTGTTCTGGACGATCCAGCTTCTCCGGTGAAAGTAATCACCGAGAAGCCAACCCAAGAAATAGCAGCCCCGTTAGACCAGTCAGCACCTTTGTCCAGCACCATTGAAGCAAGGGTTGGAGATCAAGCAAACGTTTCATGCTGGAAAACTGCTTTCAAACCACCAAATAGAGGAGATGACTACACCATTCTGCAGGTAGGTTTTTATGTCTTTTATGACAAATAATTTAGTCTACTGAATTATTATTATTACTGAAAATTTTAATATTTGACTCCAATTTCATATGTAGTCAAGATTTTGAATTTAGTAAATAATACTAGTAAATTATATTTAACACAAGCTAGAATTTGAATCTTTAATCTTAATACAATAATAAGTATTTCAAAAATTGGGAGTAATTAAATTAACTCGATCGAATGAACTTGTGTTTGCAGGCCCTTTTCAGTGTAGACATGTTAATCTTGTTCTTGGCAACAACCTGTGGAGTTGGGGGAACTTTAACGGCGGTAGATAACTTGGGACAGATTGGAACCTCCCAGGGGTACCCCAAGCAAAGCATCAGCACTTTTGTTTCTCTCGTGAGCATATGGAATTATCTCGGCAGAGTCACATCAGGTTTCGTCTCTGAAATCATCCTGGCTAAGTACAAATTCCCACGCCCTCTTATGCTCACCCTCATCATGTTCCTCTCCTGCCTCGGTCACCTCCTGATTGCCTTCAACGTCCACGGTGGCCTGTATGTTGCATCCATAATCATTGGTTTCTGTTTCGGGGCGCAATGGCCATTACTCTTTGCAATAATTTCTGAAATATTCGGACTCAAGTACTACTCCACACTATACAATTTCGGCGCCGTGGCAAGTCCTGTTGGGTCCTACATCCTCAACGTGAAGGTTGCTGGAAATTTATATGACAACGAGGCAAGGAAGCAAATGGCAGCGCGGGGAATCATTAGAAAGCGCGGACAGGATCTGGAATGCACCGGCACAGAGTGCTTCAAATTAGCATTCATCATAATCACGGTCACAACAGTGTTGGGTGCATTGGTTTCATTTGTCCTTGTGCTAAGGACCAGAAAATTTTACAAGAGTGA